ACTGATGGACCTCTTGCCCTAAGTGAGGAAGACAAAGCATATACCCTTCTGGCTTTCTTTAAGGGAGTGTATAGAAAGTCAGCACCGTTGGTTATGGCAGATAGGTTCGATTATCCCAGTGTGACATCACAGCTGACTGAAATAACTGCGACACCGGACGAAGGGCAGATTATCCCGTTGCGAGATCACAGCTGACTGAAATAACTGTGACACCGGACGAAGTTCTTCACGAGCTAGCTACCCTGAATAAGTTCAAGGGAGCGGGACCGGATGGCATCCATCCCGCTATTGTTAAATCTCGGCGGAGATACTCCAAGGGCCTCTGTCAAAGCGGTTTCCGACACCTCTAGATAAAAGCCAGATACCGAGAGATCCGAAAAGAGCGACGGTAGTTGCTTTGTATAAATCTGGGTCGTAGATATAGGCGAGATACCGGGAGATTGGAAAAGAGCGACGGTAGTTGCTCTTCATAAATTTGGGTCAAAGCGAAAAGGCCGAAAACTACAGACAAGTAAGTCTGACGTCGGTCCTATGCAAATGCCTAGAAAGGATTGTACGTGAGCATATGGCTGCGTACCTCGTAGGACATGAGGTACTAACACCAGCCCAACATGGCTTTATCAAGAGAACGTCTTGTCCATCAAATCTGCTTGCCTTCCTCGATGAAGACGAGGGACAGCATGTCGAGTTCTGTTATCTGGACTTTAGCAAAGCTTTTGACTCGGTAAGTCATCAGGGTTTAGACCAAAAAATGCAATTCTTAGGAATTGGCAGAAGAATTAGAAAGTAGGTATACCACTTTATAACCAACCGCTGTGCCCCCCGAATAGATCAAAGAGCAACGCGTAGCCGAATTCGGATCCCAAAACCTCAATGAAACGAACGATCCATCAAGTTTCCACGGTACTGCGTTAATAAACGATCAAGTAAGCAAATAAAATCTGTACAAAGCTCAAAGTGATCTCGAAAAAATTGAAAACAGGAGCCAAGTGTTACGGTGAGTGTAATTCAATAAATCTGAACGGAAGAAAATGAGTCTGGATAAGAATAGCACGCTCACTGTCACGCTGCATTCGAACGAGTCAAATGTGAGCGTAACAAAGAAAGTCAGGTATTGGGATCGATGTGTAAATGTACAACGGAAGTGGAACGTCAAGTGTCTATGTATGTATGATTCGGATGGTAATAGGTGAATGGAGCGTGAAAGGTACGAACTGTGGAATCAAGGTGGAATGGCTGGGCTTTACAAGAAGGATTTTTACAGATCGATCAATACACCACCCGGCATAATCTTTCAACGAGTCACACCATCAAAGGGAAATTCACAGGAGCACCAATTCTTACCCTAACTGCTTAAGCCTTACCGTCGATGTGCCATTCTCTCGAGCCTATAGTCGTTTCATCCGTCTCCGCCAGCTCAGGAGGTTAGCCACAAGCCGCTTTCCATGACTCACAGTGCCTCCCTCGCTAACCCGGAGGATTTCTCAGCCGCTTGGGTTCCCGGTCGATTCCGCGTCTTCTTCCTCCAGGTAGCAGGTTAGGCGGATGTCTCACAGGGTTTCGCCGGCTGCCGTTTTCACGTTAACCGTGCGTGCGAAACCGTCCTTATCCGAGAAGCATTCCTTGACGACCGCCATTTATCTCGCCGCAATCGTTCATCCACCAGTAGCACTATGTTACCAACTCGAAAGTTTCTTCCTCTGAGTATCCATTTCTGTCGTGCCTGTAGAGTAGGCAAGTACTCTCGGACCCACCGCTTCCAGAAAACTCCCGCCAAATAGGTGGCTTGCTTCCAACCGCTCGAGCAACAGTTTGTGATTGTTCGTGATACTGCCAGTCCGTGTTTCGGTCTCAAGAGAATCAAGTCGTTTTGCGTAAGTGCGAGACCCGGGGTTTCACTGACGACTGGTGTCAATGGCCTATTGTTCAATTTGCGCTCAACTTCGATCAGGGTCATGATCAAGGTCTCATCGTCCATGGGTTGTTGATTGTATACCACCAATAATATCCTTCTCACCGACCTTATCATACGTTCCCAAACCCCGCCTCTATGGCTGGTGTACGGCGGGTTGAAGTGCCAACGGCTATTTTGGGAATTCAGTCGCTTATGTAGTTCACCATGGTCGACACGGGACAGCCACCTTTGTAGCTCGTTAGATGCACCCACGAAATTTGAAACGTTGTCGGAATAGATGTTGTTCGGGACTCCGCGCCTGCTAATTAACCTTTGAAGCGCCATTAGGAACGATTCAGTAGACATACTATGCACCATCTCAATGAACCGCGCCAGACTGCATGCAGGTAAACAAGCACCCGTACCGCTTCGCTATCGATCGCCCGCACTTCACTACCAGGATGCCGAAATAATCCACTCCTGTCTGCGCGAACGGCCATCCACCCGTTTGAACCCATTTGCCTTCCACTTACCGCATTTTGACGGCGACAGAACATATATCTACCTTTCGGTACGTTGGCGCGCGGTTGAAATTTGTCACGTGCTTTGATTTGCTTATTTTCTCGATCGTAAAAGTAAAGTGCAATTGTCATAAATTGTCACTTTACTGTGTTTTACCCTTTATCCCTCCGAGCTTTTCAATCGTAGTTATTTACGGTGCTCTCTCAAAGAGCACTTAATATCGCGGACCAAAACTACGTGCATAGCCATTTGGTTTGGTCAATTTGGATTTGTGTAACGCTTTTACGTATCGTACTCACTTTTCGTTTTCCATATCACTGTTTTGCAGCTTTTGAACATCTGCACAAAAAAATGCCGCGCGTGTCCTATCCATGTTTGAAGGATAGTTGCGGGAAGAAAGTAGTCAAGGGAATCGAATTCGAAACCTGCAAAAGATGGGCACATTCTGGTTATTCAGGCATTAGCAAAGACCACTATGCATTCTTCTGCGCAAATAGCTGGGTAGAGTGGATCTATGAACAGTGTAAGGACACGACAAGGTCTGCGTTTGCGACGCGGAAATCGGAGGTCAGAGGCAAACCGAGCAGTGAGCGTCTCGAGAGCCCAAAAACGTCGGAACCACCCAGAGGAACCTTGAGCCTTTACGCTCAGGTCGCTTGAAGTCACGAAAAGAGTAAACCGCAGGGAGAGAGCTCTTGGCAAACAGTTTTGCCGTAGACGTGGAAGGCAGCAGCGATATCCACACCGCTGAGAAATATAGTCTCACATGGGAAGCGATATAGTTTTAAGGAAGAGCTCCCGGCTTTAAAGAAGCAAGTGAGTACCCCCCTTGCCGCAAGTATCCCCAAAGCTCAAGGAGGAGCCGAACATAAGAGAATCAAAAGCCCGTAGGGAAATGGACAGGCGTAGAGTACACGTATCCCCAAAGCGGAACTTCGTAGAAACCTCCTTATACTTAACAATGAGGAGCCGAACATGAGAGAATCAAAAGCTGGCAGGTAAATGGACAGGCGTAGAGTCCACGACATACTCAGGTTAGCTGGGGCCCCGCCTAACTTGAACAATTAGGAGAGTATACCGGGTAAACGCCACCCATGGAAGCAACACAGGCACCAGCTAGACCCATACTGGTGGAGTTTGCCACACCGCTAGATAGGGATATGCTACTATCCCGGGCAGAATTAGTTTGGGGTGCCACTAAAGGGCGTTATAAAATAGTCCCTGATGAACCCCGAATCAGGAAAATAAATAGAAAACCGCCAACTTACATGACGGGAAGAGAACGTTTTGAGGCTGAGCCAGTGAAACTGCACAGAGCACCACGGGTCTCAGCAAACCCGAATGTGGTAGTAATTGAAGACATCTTGGAGCATCTCACGTTAGTAAACGAGACCCAAATGGAATCAAATAATGCCGCAACCGGCCAGCCAATATTGTCACCGGGACCAGCATACGTTTCCAAGCTCCCCGAGCTGGAGGAAACGGTGGTCGAAGTAGCAGCTGGCACCAGAGATCAGACAAAAACGGGCTGCCTTCCCGGGTGCTACGCCCGAAGAAAAAAGCAGAGTGAACAAACTACTCATTAGGGGATAGGAAATCATTGGTACTTTTTCACGCCAATGCATGTAGTATTAGAAATAAGTTGGCAGGGCTGGCCACAGTGGCTGAGGGAACAAAAGCCGAGGTAGTTGTCTTGACTGAAACGTGGCTAACGCAGGACGACCACATACCTGAACCCGTCTTAAGCCGGTTCACTGTTCACATGCAGGATAGGAAAATGGGTTTACTAGGGGTGGAAAGCATTGGTACTATTGCACGCCAATGCATGCGGTATTAGGCATAAGTGCGGAGAGCTGGCCACAGTGGCTGAGGGGAAAAAGGCTGAGGTGATTGTCCTGAAACGTGGCTAACGCAGGAAGACCGCATACCCCAATCAGTTTCAAGCCAGTTCACAGCCCACAGATAGAACAGGAAAGGGGGTACACTAGTATAGCAGTCCTGGTCAGACAGGATATACCCCATCACGAAGATAAAATAGCGCAGTGCACCCAAAATCTTCAGATGTGCCCAATTTCGTTGATTCTACCTTTCGGAGGAGGGTTAGCATATCAGGAATCTACAGAAGCCCGGGATGCACACTCGAGGAGGACCAGGCACTCCTATGCACCCTAGATAGCTTATATAGAAACGAACGAGGAGTTTGTATATTGGGAGATTTCAATATCCCAAAATTCGATTGGGAGGTTGAGCGGGTACCAACAGGAACAACGGAGAGCGCGTTCTTAGGATGGATGCACTCGAAGGCCCTACGGCAACATGTCCGGGAGTGCACTAGGTACAGAGATGGAGATAGGCCGTCTTTACTGGACCTAATTATTACAACGAGGGGGAGGGATTTGGCAAACCTTACCTTACCCTCCATTCACCTCTGGGTAAGAGCGACCACGTCGTTCTCACCACAGTAATAAGTCTCATGAATCGTAGGAGTAATGTTAGGATGTCCAGGAACTATTGGACGATAGATGCGACGAAACTGAAGGCCTGAGCTGCGGATCTGGTGTGAGCCCCTATCCACGAAAACGACTCTGTAGACCAGCATTGGGACCGGATCAAGGCAAATCTCTTGCTTCTGCAGGATGAATTTGCTCCCCTAAAACTCAGGGCAACGAAGAACAAACCACCTTTGTAGAGCGCAGCGATTAGAAGAGCGATACAGCGTAGAAATAGGAGCTGGCACACTTATAGATCAACGGGTAGCCACCGATCCAGGGCGCGGCGGGTGCTGGCACTTCACTCTCGTTCTCTGGCCCGGCGGTCAGAAAGGTTGGGCCGCGGAGCCAATCAGGTATTTTCTCCAACGGCCTCAAACCCCGGGAGAAGTGGTCGGCTGGGTTGTCCACAGATTTCAGATATCGCCATTGGTGCATCTTGGTCTCTTCGTGCACCACCATCATCCGGTTAGAAACGAAGGTGCTAAACCTAGTGCGGACGTTGTTAACGTAGTGTATCACGATGGAAGAATCGGTCCAGAACGTGACGCTTTCATCTAAGATACTGAAGCATTGTCGCAGCTGCTTCGATATATGCACGGCTAGCACGGCCGCGGTCAGCTCGAATCGAGGTATCGATACGTAATTCAAAAGGGGCGACCTGGGCCTTGGAGAAAAGAAGTTCTGTCGTGTGCTCCTCGTTTCATTGCAGCCAGCATAAGTAGGCTACTGCTCCGTATCCCATCTCGGACGCGTCGGAGAACAAGTGCAGTTCGGCCTTCGTCGTTTGGCTGCTTCGGCTGAGCCGGCGCGGGATTCGTATCTCACCCGTTCTCGCTAGGCTGGCAAACCATTGCTCCCAGTCTGCCCGATCTAACTCTTCTAGTGGCTGGTCCAACTCCGCTCTTTTTCGACAAAGCTGTTGTAGGAGTACCTTACCCGGTAAGAACCACGGCGCTACGAATCCTAGTGGATAATACAAACTGGAGACCGATGAAAGTAGCCCTCGCCGGATGGGGTTCCTTTCACGTAGCCGAAGTTGAAAAATGAATTCGTCCGGCTCGGCGCTCCATCATACCTCCAAGGTCGGCTCGATAAGAAGTGACTGTGTGGTCAGGTAGACAGCCCCACCAGCTCCGTCAGTTTGGGGAACGTGGTATAAAACTAAGCGCGAGTTGGATAACAGTTTGGTTAGGCGGAAACCCCCCTCCTTTTCCCAGCAGGTTTATCAATTGTGCTACGTGTTGCGAGGGTAATCTTGCGTCATCAAATGCGCCCGAGACGTCATCGGCATAGAAGTTATTAGCAAAACTAGGTGGCACCGAAGCGATGAACGTGTTTTCTTGCTGAGAGGCCGTCTGTCGGAGTGTGTAGTTTCCGCATAAGGGCGAGGAAACCGCACTGAATGGATGAAATGTCAGGCAATAATCCACTGCCGGGCTCTAAACGTTGCATTCAGGCCACCATAGTAGACGCAGGGGGTCGCGTTGATCCTCCAGTATATTAACTTGGA